CTCTCTCTCTCTCTCTCTCTCTCTCTCTTCCCCTCTGTTAACAACAAGACGTTCCTGCTCCTTGCCCGTAATAATAAACCAACCCACACCCTTCTCTTCGGGGACGTCGTAATGAAAGACTTAGAAGACTCGATCAAACTCGGCGCGAACCGCTTAATCTGCTAAGCCCTACGGACCAGGAACGAGGTCGAAGTGGCCGGCTAACTGGCCGGATTGATCAGCCTCTGGCTTTCGCCATTCGGTCAACAACTTCGTCCCGATATCTCGGACCCGGATCCCCGAATAATCCGGCCGGACTTTCGCCTATGTACACGACGAAAGCGGTTTCTTCCACGACCGGCATCCAATGTATTTCGTTCCGTTTCGTGACGACGATCCGTGAATACGGATGATTAAACTTTTACCGATCGAGGATTACCGATCGAGCTCGCATCGATGATGCACGAAAACGTGGAATTTTTTTTCGAAGGGAAAGGGAATTTGAGAGTTGCTCGATGAGAAGTGGACGGATTCGTTGTTGTGTAACGAAGAATTGGTAAATTTTATTGTGATTTTAGGTTGGAAGTGGATCGAACAAAGAGTTAACCTCAAATTCTTGATCTTTTTATGAGGGAATCGTTCGATAAGAAGGGAGGAATAGATGGAAATTAGCAGTTTTATCGAGATAAGAAATATTTTTGTTGGTAATATAATTTCATACGAGTTTAGAGTAGAAGAGAATAGAAATGAACGAAAGAAAGGAAGAACATGTTTGAAGAATTCTACGAATAGTACGAATTTTCCGTATTTATTACGTATTATAGTTTTTTTTTTTTTTTATTTCACTTAGAAATAGTTGTTTTTATGAAATTCGATGAAATAGAATCAAATTTCCGAATGGAAGTACCTGGCCATCACAATATTTTGACAAGTATCCAAGGGAAAATTTTCCTCGATTGCCCCTCGCAGATATTTCCTTGGGGATGATGGAAAAATATCCGCGTGCGATCAATTTAGCGAAGATCAACTTTGGTAATGCGTTATTTTTTCGCGGCGGCGACGAACGAACGACGGCCAGATCGAAATTTATTATTGCACGAAACAACGCGACAAAATAATTGTATCCAATCTTTCGAATGGAGATTTCTATTCAGGGAGTGAAAAGAAAGTGAATCGAAATAGTTTTCTTAGGGTGGTTGGAATTGCATCTCTGCTATCTAAAACGCACGCTGTTTGGAATGCATTCCGCCAATTTAGATCGCTTTGCCAACTTCGGGCTGCTATTACTCGAAACGATGGACCCGTTTCAAGTTTCTAAGTGAAATTACACATCCATAGTTGTTTGTTATTGTTTAAAATTGCCAAAACTATGGAATACATCGTTTCACATGCGACAAGCTACAAATCTACTTAACAAATCGTAATAAAAAAAACGCATTGAAATAAAGCCTCGGAGAAAGAAATGATCGAAAGGAAAGAAGCAAGAGATGTAAAAAATTATACAAATAAAAAAAAGCCAAACTTGCTTGAAAAGAAACGGAGGAAGAAGAAGGAAGAGGAGAAGAACAGTAGGAGAAGAAAGAATGGGGAAAGAAAAGAAAATAAAAATCAATCGACGTGTCTGGAAATCTTTAACGCATTTTACTTCGTTAAGTCGAGAGGTCTCTGGTTAGCGCAGTTGTGTGCCAGTGACATGCGGGGACGAGGGTGGAAAACCGGCCGCGGTGGATTTAGTTTGACGAGGAGCTGCGGCAGCGATGTGCGGACGGTGCCTAACTCAATTTCGTTAGTTTAGTTACATTGGCGGTTGGTAACGCGAGGCCCACGCAGGGGTTGCCGTGATTAGATTTCCATGTAGGTAGTGGTGCACCCACCTAAGCCTTTATGTGTGCCCGCTTTATATGTACAACCAGCCATCTTCTCCCTCCCTCTCCTTTCATTTTGTCCCTCTTCCCGCGCCACGACAAATATTAACTCAACCAAGCCACCCCCCCCTCCCCCCCTCGTGCGATTCACCGAAACTAGCGAGGATGAATAAGTGAATTCTATCGACCACCTTATTTCCCGTGTTCCGCCTCGTTGCAACACGCGGATTTTCTTACGGAGGAGGAATCTTCGAGAGAGCGGAGGGTTGCGCGTAACGAGGAAACGAAGGGTTGATAGGAAAAGGGGATCATCCTGGGGATTATGATTGGCCGAGTGGGTTTTTTTTTCTTTCGGAGAAAATTGTTGGAATTGCGATCTCGATGATCTCGAGAGGTGATTGATCCGCGAGTCGACACGATATATCGACGATCACATATGAATATCGTTTACGAGAAATTTCAAGATTGCTTTTACGATTAATTGTATTTGCGACGGGCGTAAAGTTATACTTTGGAAATTTCGAAAGGGATCGATCGAAAGGGATGAATCTTGTTTTCATCCCGTCGAAAAGACGGTCCGCGCCACTTTCATTTCGGTTAAATGAACCACGAAAATGAAGGAAAGCAATGGCGATGCTATCGTTCGATTATAGCCGACAATTCTCTATTACTATGTATCTGGGAATCTTGTGTGTGCCGGCTGCGTGGTCACTCTCCAGTTATAAAGGATATCGCGGCCCTCCATCTATTGCAGGCCCGCGAATTCTTAAGAAGAACCTTTGTCCGGTTAATTCGATACCGGTGTACCGTGAATTTCCATCGAGATTCAACCTCCACCACCCTCCCCTCTCACCCTCTTTATCACGATCGGCCCACGAAAACGAGGATACCATTGCAATTAATTTGCGACCATTCTCGGATTCCTCTCCCGTTTCTTCTGATTAGATTACTTCGCAGTGGATAGTTCTTATTTTGTGTCAGGTTGCGTCTTGAAAGAGAATTTGTTTGATTCGACGAAGAATTCTAAATTACAAATATAGAAAAAAAAAAAAAATAAGGAAAGAATATTTTTTGCAACAAATCACCGATTCTTCAGTCGGAAAGACTCCGAACGATTCGCTACACGCTCGTCGATCTTTCAGAATCGGCTCCCCTTACCGGGGTTAAATACTGATCCATCAGCAGATATCACGAGCAGATACATTTTCTAATAAGCGGGGGGAGGTCCGATCGTTGTTTCCACAGCTCTTCTAGAGAAGAGGGGTCGAAGGAATATACATTTTTTTTTTTCTCTTTTTTTTTTTTTCAGGGACAACGATCGCGTTTCTTCCTGTTCACCGAGCAGTCGATAATATTTAATCAAGTTCCAGTCCGTGACACGAATTTAGAAAAAGGATCACGTTGCTAAATATTTCCTTTTGGATCGAATCTCTATTCTTCTCGAAATGAGAGATGACTCTCTATCTATGATATCTACGATGCAATCGTGATTTTTCAAACATATCGGTGGAGGATTAAAACGAGGGAAGAAAGAAAGCGACGGCGTTAACGACGATCCCCTTACCTTTGCCAGATTTATTTGGCGGTGGCCCATCCCGATTCCATGGCGGGTCTCCGTGGCCCGAGAACTCCCGAAGTTTGAGGTACGAGATGGTTAGCCTTATTATAGAGGCTTTGTCCAACTGGGAGGTAATAGCCGCCGGTAATGGCAACATTTTCGCTAACTCGTAGAACTCGAAGTTCTCTTTCCCCCTTCGAGACCTGGCAGCGTCTCTGCTCTTCTCCTTGCGCAGCTCGAGGATACTGTAACAGGCAGAGAAGAGGAACGAGAGAAGGTTAGACGGGCAGGAATCTCGTGGCGCGGATAAATCTTAGTTTTTTTTTTTTTATTTTTATTTATTTGTTCGTTCATTTATTTCCCTCCTTCCTTTTTATCACAATTTTTTCAATCGTGTCAAAACGTATAACCCTTCGTATATACGACGTAGAACGTAGAAGGGGAGAGAATTCGACGAGTGAATCTCGATCTCACATTCGAGATGGAATTGGACGATGATCAACGGTTATTCATATTCTCATATTTTTAACGATCTTTGAAATTAAATATCAATTTGTTTCGATATACCAAGTTGAAGAGAGTTAAAACAATCCTTGTAATCGTTCGAGAGGGTTTATTAAAATTTGGCAAGCGATATATAATAAAAATGTCTTCTTTTTTATTCAGCTTTCGTTTTCTTTTATTTAGCCGCGATCGATGACGCAAAAGGAATACGATAACGCGGTTTGTTTTTACAACGTTTTTTTTTTTTTTACGATAAATCGTGTAACCATTCACGCGCCATCCTCGATTCTCGTCCGAAATTCAATTACATATTTGTTGGCTGCCATAAGATATTCGTTTCGCGTAATCCTTCCGCAAGGACTCGCGCATTTGATATGCCAGTAACGAATTAACCGCTGTGCCGGAATCGCGTTACAGCTATTGACCCAGAGCGTACGTAGCACCCCGTACTGTTCCTTTTCGACTGTTTTTTCTCCACGGTTAACTTGATCCAGGCTCCAACCTTTCAAACTTGAAGCATAAAATTCGTATCGGAACGTTTGATTACGATCTTGAGAAGTCTTCGTCTTCAAATCTTTTCAAAAATTAAAATCCATCGTTCTTCTCCCCAAGACACAAAGCACTCGGTCAATCGAGCAATATCCAGAGACCGATGTTTTTCAACCCTTATGTTTTTTAACCCTTTGCGCTGCAAGTGACTCGATTCGAAGCGCGACAATATATTATAATCTTACAAAGCGTAGAATAATATCGAATGGTTGGATTTTTTTTTTTTCTGAAATTAGATCGCGGATCGAGCTACATTTTAGTCCGAGTTCGACTAGTCGTGGCGATAGAAATATTATTTTTAAAGTTTCCGAATTTTGTGGAAGACGATAATGAAATTAGCTCGAGCGAAGACGAGCTTGATTTCTCGTTATTAAGTAACGAAATTGACGAATAGAGAGAAGGAGGATAGCGATGAAAATAGAGATAAGAGGATGAAAAATAAGAATAGTGGACGGTTTTAAGAGATCGTAAGATTTCATCGTCCTGAAAAACCGAGGATGCATCATCATTTAATATTCCATCCAAATCTTTTTTCTTTATATGCATTAAATTATACGCGATTAATTTGTGCGGGAAATCGTAAGGAGTGCAAAGGGTTGAAAACAAAGAACTTTGAAAGATCTGGAATTGACGGCGATTGACGTTTCTCCTCCTCGAGAATTCTCACCCTCCACGGGAATAAATTTACTCGTACGAGAAGTTTGTCTCTCGCTGCCCAATTCGAAATAAGCGACAAAATAAGCGATTAACCGAGGACGATGGATAGGCGAGGATCCATAGGCGTGGCGGCCACGATCGTAGATCGCAAACGCGCGGCAAAAGCGGCCACCCGCTCGGCCGGCATACATTATTCAAAACGCTATCATGCCTGTGTTTGCTGACACGCCAGCCGAATGTATCTGGGTGAATGTCGACGTAACATTAACCACGCCCCGTGGACGGCCCCTCGATTCCGGTTTTGCATTTAAACATTAAACGTTGACCAATGGGAACGTAATCCGCATTATTCGAAACCCGTTCCTCCCTCTACACCCCACGGCCGTTAACCTTTTATCAACCGGAGGAATTGGTCCTGACCGATCGACCTCGCCTTCCATTCGCCAAACATTGATCCCATCCACGCGGACGGTGATCTTTCCAAGGGTTGAATCGATGTTGTGGATGAAATTGTTTCGATTAAAAGAAGAAGAAAAGAAAAGAGAAGGGGGTCATCACACAGTCCGTGGCAGTTTGATCGCGCGCACGCAGGTGTGAAACTGGTCAAAACGCGATATTTCATAATTTCACGAGGCGGTTGAATGAATTAAACATGGGGCGGTAATCCGATTCGAGAGCCTTGAATGATCCTTAACAACCAATCCTTGACACACATAGAAATCGAATATATCAACAGGCCTTCTCTCCATTAGAGTTTTTCCATTACGCAAAACCGATACGCGCCAACCTGAGCTAAAATTGGACGGAATAAATAGACTCGACGACACCTTGACGACACGGACGAATCGAACCTCGACCTCGTCGGAGGATAAAAACTTCTTTATCCCTTCCTCGATTATTAAAAATCCCTCGAGGAACGATTTCGAAACGCGGTTCGAAAGAAGAATCCGCGAATTAAACGCGCCATTTAGCCAAGAGTCGGAAAGGGTTAAGAACAAGATGGGATTTTTATTAGGCCGCTATCGCGCTTAACGGCTGTAAAACGATCCCTACCCCTTTTCTCGTTGATCGCGCGACCGCCATCCGGAACACGACGTCGCCCCCATTACAACACCCGCCACGGTGAAAAGTCGTAAAGAGGAGGGAGGAGGGGGAGGGGGGAACGAGGGAAAAAGCGACCGCCGTTCGACGGTCAAAACCGTCTTGTTTTCGCATTTTACAAGCGTCCCGCCACCGAAGAGACCAACGCTCGAGAACAACACGCTTCTTCCTTCCTTCCTTCCTTCCCGTTTCGCTTGGTCCCGCGGGGACAATCACGAAACCGACGCGACGGACGAGGAGCGCGAGTTGGGGAGTGGGTGGGAAATTTCATTTGCCATCGATGCTCGCGTTCATTCTCTCGTTAGAGGGGGCCGGCTACTTTGCTTTGGTAATTTAAAGTTTGAGAAGAGGGCGGGTCGAAGTTTTCTTCTCGGAACAAAGAAGGGGGTTGGAGGATGGAGTTTGGAATGAAAAAGTATGGCGAGAGTTAAAGAGTGTTAAAGCGGTTCTTCTAAACCGGGGTGGATCGATCGGGGAGGAGGATTCCAATTCACCTGTCCTCGACGCATTAACGAGGCGAATCGTTGTTGCTGCTCGTAATTTTTAAACCGAGATTGGATTATTATGGGTCTGAGGTAGGAAGTAATCGAATCTTGCACGCCTCCAACATTTCGAAATCGTTTGGAAATCGAGTTTTAAACTCTCGGGTCTGTTGTTGCGTGAAAAAAATTTCGAGTCGAATTTTTACGAATATCGACGGAAAACAGAGGATTTTGTCTCTTTTTATTATCGGACGACAAATGTCTGACGAGCGATAAACGAACGGGTAAGGAATATTTTGTATATTTTTTCCTTTTTTTTTTTCTTTCTTTTTTTTTTACGGCTCGGTATCGGTTCAAGGGTTCCGTTGGAATTTGGGATAGGTACACGGTCGCGCGCTCCGACTTTTTTACGACGGCGAATGCAGAAACGAGCGTGCTACGTGCATCGCATACGGGACCGTATGCAACGATGCTTACTAAAATGCGGGCAGCCCGTCGTGAATTACGTCAAACGGTGGTTTCCCGACGGATCCGATCCCTCCGCGTTCTGAATTTTCCACCGGGGAAAATCGTGTCCCCATTGTGTAAATTTTAACCAATTACCTCGGCCAAATATGCCAGTTTTCCATTTATTTTTCTTTTTTATCGAGCGAGCGAGCGAGCGAGCGAACGAAGAACACAGCAGTTACGGGAAACCAAGTTTTTCCAAGTTTTTTTTTTTTCTTTTCGATCATTGAAACGAACAAGCGTTTGATCGCGATTTGAAGAAGTGAACGAAGATTCGAAAAGAAAGAAAGGATGCTCGGTGGATAAAAAAGTTGGCTCGAGATTCGCGTCTCGCACGATACATCGATCATAAACTGTACGAAAAAAGAATTTACGAGGTAGTTTTAATAATATGATATTTCGTGGAAGAAGAAGAAGAAGAAGAAGAAGAAGAAGAAGAAGAAGAAGAAGAAGAAGATGCTCGGAACGGAAGGGAATAAGAGGAATATAAAATAAAAAAAAAAGAAAAAAAACCCGTGGTCGATGCGGTCAAATAAATAAAAATATAGGTTACTTTTTCTTCGGTTCCCAGGTGAAACGCTATAATATATATGGTCAGACGTCTGTTCATCGCGAACGGATGCATGTGTTGCATAGCAATCACGTGGTAATCGCGTGGTAATTGTACGCCTAATTGCGTACATAGAGGAGAAATTCTCCACGAGTTTAATAATCAATTGGAAAGTGGAGATGAGAACGGTTACAATTAAAATCCGTACGTATTTCCATCCTTTTCGATTCCACCATCTTCCACCATCTTTAGAAACAAGTTTCGAAATTGATCTCGGAACCGATCAAAATGTATATATATATATATATATATATATAAAATAGTTTCAGTCTCGAATCATGCAAATCATCCTGTGCGATTCGCGCGATCGCGATGCGTCGTTCGTCGGAATGTCGCGTCACGTTAACCGTGAATCATCCTTGAAAACTGCGTACTTATTTTATATTTGAAATTCGTCTTAAACGTAGTATCTACTACTTCTCTAACACCTTGCAAGGCAACTATGTTCGCCGCATTCGAATTGCAAAAAAATCCTACCTAGCCTTAATCGCTCCTCGTTGTGTGCTAATGCAACGAAATGAACGATACCTTTTGCGAAAGCAGCCGGCCGATCGATACACGTCGCATCGAGACGGGCGCGAACGAAAAATACTTCACCGCCGATACGATACGATAAATGTAACGACTCCAGGTAAAAGTAATTCCTAGATATCGACCGATACCTCCTGCTACTACCACGTATTTTCTAAAAAAAATGACTCGCCTCGCTTATGAACGCAACGAATCCTCGTGGAAAGATGGACGGATGGTCGAGGACGAGGTCGGTGACGGAACGATCAGAGGCGTTGCTGATTGTGCAAAGATAAAGGGAACGTAAGGGGGGAGGGGAATGATA